TTGGATGAGTCAGAAACCCAGGAACTACTCAGCTCAGCTTTGACTCGTGGCTTCATAGGCGTAGCAAAAGTACGCGAACTGTCTGCGACGGGCTCCCGGCAAGCCGCTGCAACATTTGTAGATTAGTACCTCCGATCGGCGTGACCGATCAGCAATTTTGCGCCTTGCAATGGATGTTGTGTAGATATGTTAGTCATCCCCCCCGGGCCCACCTTTGATTGAATAGTTTGCACAGAGGGAATAATTTGCAGATCTTCATCTTAATATGTATGTGTATGTGTATATACACATGTATACAAACCTATATATACATATTATGCATTGTATACTCCCGGAGGTGCGATACGTGCTAGTTGCTTCCCCCGCACAGCAGAATTGGTCTCATTTCGTGATGCGGAGCCCAACGAAATAACACAAATCCTGAGCTCCAATTGTCTCTTGGCCTGCCAGACTCTCTGATCCCACTTATCTGGGCCACCAAGAAGACGTTTGCTTCAAGTCGACTCTCGCCGGGGTTCCAACAGCTGTTTCTAAGCGAAGCCGAAATGGGTTTGCCTCAGAATCTGCACATGAGGTCTCAGAATAGCAACGGCTCTCCTGCGAAGCCTCTAAAAGACACGCTGCTGGGCTTCCTTTCTTGACCCGCGCGGGATCCGGAGTTCTCCGCCCCATTTTGGGAGTGGCTTCAGGGCAGGTGCGCGTGCGCCGCGTGCCAGGCAGGCCGGGGCCCCGGCAGATGTGTCTAACATTTCTGCGAAGCGGCTGCTGACGGAGCCGTCAAGCTTGGCGACCTCGCGAGCTGAAGAGGTTGGAGCTTTTTTGGGGGATACGGGGGCAGGACGGGGACTCAAACCAGGGTTAAAACGAGAAAGGCATACTCACAAATGAAGTAAACCCATGCGGATGAGCATGGTGCTCGCTTCTGTTTGTGCAATCTACTGGCGTCCCAAGGCAAGTTTGAGCATTGCTCGACACATGGTAAAAGTCAGAAGCGTACCACCAACACCTACGAGAACTGGGGTCAATGGAAGAACCCGTCTGGCCTCATCTTCCAGATTCCAGGTAACTAAGCAGAGCGCTATCCCTCCATCCAACAGCCTACAAGTGCCGGCCATGCTCGAAAATCACATCACGCATAGTTCCATTCGAGCTGTTTGGGTTGCTTTGGAGCGGGCTACGAGTCCATGGTGGGTGTTGGGCTGGGGTTGGTTTAGGGTTGGATTCAGGTGGGCAAGAAGTTGGATAGATGTCAGCAGAGGTTTCCACTGGTTTGGCACGGGCGATGGTTTCTTTTGATGCCTGGCAATCCACCTGCCAAGCACCTGGGATCCCTGCTCCCTCCAGGATGGCAGCGATGGCCTTGCAAAAAAAAGAGCCCAATGGAGGCGATTGGATCTGTACAGTTCATGTTAAAATTAAGAATCGCATTGGACTCCTTGGACTCATTTCATGCTGAGAGAATATGCACCTGGCAAGCACAATGTTGGCGCAAATTCCCGCCTGGGCAGCAGCGACGCCCCCTTCCAAGGCATCCAATTCCTGGCGTCCAAGATGGCCAAACTCTGTACGACTTGCGGACGCCGACTGTGCAAAGAGTCGGCCCATTGCTCCAGGACCCTTGTTGAAACCTATCAACAATCTCGACTGTTCACAATGCAAAGCCAAACGCGACCAGATCAGCGGATTGCCAAGCACCGGATCAGGGCAAATGATTCGGATGACAGCCAATTCCCCAACATGTCCTGCAATTTCGCCCAAGGGTTGCCAAAAGCTTACAAGTGCTTCCTCTCTTTCTCGGCAACAAACAAGATGTTGTGACAAAGCATCAAATATTCCAGGGTGGGCATGCAACCAGCCGAGGCCGGCCATGAAGATCGAAAAAAATCAAACATGTGATGGCCATGAGACAAATGAGGGCGCACCAGAAAAGCCGCGTGCCACCTACAGGGTGTCCCGGTCCTCCCCAGACGCGCAAAGGCTGCTGATCAAAGCAGATCCGCAGCTACGCTGCCTCAAAGGCACGCAGAGCAACGTTTTTTGTTTTGCGGGAAATCAACAAAACCAACCACCTGCAAAAGGATCCCGAGTAAAGGGGGTATATCCTCTGATTCAGTATCCAAACAAATGGAAAATATATGGCCGTGGCTCATATGTCGGCTGCCTTCTTGGGGCACAAACAAACTCCGACGAGGGGCGGCTGTCTGAGAGAGATTGCCTGGAGCAGCACGTGACGAATGCAGCGGCCAAGCCAAGATGATTGACAACGGTCTAAATTGCCCAATGTCTGTGTCTTGAGTGCTTCAGGGGCGAGTTGCTCTATGTACAAATGTCCACATCCAATTTGCAAACAAAAGCACAAATGCAGCTCACGCTTCAAGCAGACAAAGACACACCCACAGTCCGTTAAGTTATATTCCGTTGCAATATCCAGTTTGGTTTCACTCTTAACATGGAAGCCATGACGGCTGTGTGGCTATGACAAGCAGAGGGTGTTGGAAACGTGCTGGTTGTAGGATTTGGATCGTTCCTTGGAGATGTTACCCAAAGCGAGTGCAGTTTCAGCCACCATGCTTGGGCCTAACAACTTGAAGCGCATTATGCTGGCTGACGAGGGGCAAAGGAAAACCAAGAGGAGCACTGCCATTTTGCGGGGGTCGTGGGTCCCTCGAAAAAAACGCACCCCCTTCAACGCAAAGAACTAGATCCGAAACGACCACTCGAGTCACGCCGATTGCCGCGGCACTCCACGAAGCCGGTGATGGGCATGGGCTCCGCCGCCAGGCGCAGCATCGGCACCGCCGCCGCGCCGCCTCGGCGATGCTTCCGAGCGAGCGCTGAACCAAAACGGTGAAATCGCGCTTCTGACTACCCGGCTTTGAAAAATCGGTGAAATCGACATTGTTTAGGCTTAGCCGTTCGCCGCAATGGTAAGGCTGTGCAAAGACCTCCCGAAAGGGTCTCACACTGCTTGTTTCAGATCGTGTGTGTGTGTGTGTGTCTCCTTTTTCTACTGTCGCCAATGCGAGGAGCTTAGCTTGCGTGCATGTCATTTGTTTCTCTGCACCGCCCCGTGCAATGATTGCCTGGTGTCCATATTGGTGAAGGCCACGGCAGCCATTCTGTACTTTGAATACCCAGCTGCAACTTATGATAGCTGCAACATTGTTGACAACATGATTCGATCGTAGCCTCAACTCGACCATGGTAGACTGCACCGTCATAGATGCCTCTTGCGGCGATGATTGCGCCTTCCCTGGCTGTAAGCGCACAAAGCTGGGGCCGTGGACGACAGAAGCGGAGGTTCGCCTCACGCGGCGCTGAACCAAAAGAGGGGTCCAGAGATCTTGGCCCCTGGAGCTGCTCCTGTAAATGAACTTGACTGAAAGTGGCCTGTTAAGACTCGAATTTTGCGGACGTTTGCCAAAAGGTTCAAAGGTGCTCAACCCCCAACGATGAAATTCTTCGACATTGAGCTCGAAAAACTGGCCTGGCCGTTGCAACGCTCAAAGCCACCGTTGCTCGAAAAACGAGCAGAATTGTGGACAGGATTGATCGGCCTGAACAAAGCAACGAGAAGCTGAGCTGGTCTCACATGAGGCGAGAAGACAACTCAAAGATTTTACCAGCCTTACACATGCTCCCTGCCCCACGTGCGCAACCTGAAGCTTGTTGGGCACCCCAATCCAAAAAAATGCAAAGCGAGCAAGCCAGCAGCGAGCAGTCTCCACCACACTGCTTGCAGGCAAGTTGCATTCAGATTTCGCGACCAAAGCGAGAGGTGTGCATTGCGGCACCTACACGCTGCTCTCTGCATGCTTGACTCTCACATCACCGGCAGGAAAAAGGAGGTTGGCCACATCTGCACTATCTCGATGGATCACTTGCCAGCCTGAAACCAGGGCTCTCAAGAAATGAAGAATCAAGTTTCCATGGTTTTGAACCTCTGGACCTTTGTTCAGCCTTGGCCTTATAGAAACCCCTTCTGAAGCGAGAGAAGACGTAGCAAAGCCTTTGCCTTAAGGGCAGAAGCCTTTCCTTCAGATTAAGGGTGCGTCAATTTCCTTCAGCCCAAAGCCCGCCTTGCCCAACGGGCGGCCGCGAAGCGCATGGCCATGGACCCCTTTCCGAGCCGAAAGGTCCGCTGTTGGGCGAGCGGTTTTCGTCGCACGGCGAAGCATGCGAAGCGCCGGTAGTCCGGGGGCTTCCTGTCCACCCTGAAAACCTGACGCTTCGTTTCGGGGACTTGGAATATGTTCCTTCCATGTTGGTGGATACTCACACAAAAAAAGAAACATGGTCCGGAAGCGGAGAAAATGCAAGCCGGGGCAACACCTAAAAATTTGAGCGCGGGACCGCCCCAGAAAATAGAAGGACCCCACCCAAAGTTGCTTCCGAGCTAGTGACCATTAGGAACCCTTGATGTGTTCTTTTGTCGTTGTGGCCGCATGAGGGCAAAACCAAACCCTCTTGGGCAAGGGGAGGTGGATGCGGCGCTTGCTGGCGCAATAGCAAGCAGCTGGACAACGTTCATCAGATCTTTAGCGGACCTGCTGTTGACAATGGATGCAAGCGGGTTGAGCTATTGAGGGATGAGCCCACCAAATGATGGTGAAAAGCTTGGTCCAGGCCCAGTTACAGCTCATTTTGAAAGTTGCAACAGCCCGCCACTTTCCCTGGTCAACAGACTATTCCCATCTTTGAATTAAGAACAGGGGACAAGTTCCAAAGAATGTGCGCCTGCCTGGGGCTGACCATCTCTGCATTTGCTATGCACAAACCACAGGCTCAAATTCAGTCGACTGTCTTTTCAAGGACATCTCAACACCAGGACTGCCTGAGCTGCAAAGCGTTTTCGCCACATTTTGTGAAACGATCCACGTCGCGCTTAGAGGAAACTAAGCATGTTTTATTCGTTCTTCCGTCTAACTCAACAAAGCTCAAGCAAATCTGGACACCGCGAAGCAAATTCAGTCCCGGCGATTTCACGGCCGTCGCTATGATCAGGTTCGCTTGATGTACAATGACGGCACAAAGGCTATGTCACGATGAATCAAGTCAGCGGCCTCTGAAAAGACCTTGGCCGTGTGCTCTAATCTTGCCCCAGGCTGAGCACTGCGTCCAGGAGGGCACAGAACTTGTGGGCTTGACCCAAAGTGAAATTGACGAGTACAGTAGATCTGGCTTTGCTTGTGAGCAGCTTCGCAGAAAAGGCCTGCATCAGCCGTCAAAACGTGACATGCTTGGCTTGCGACGTCGTGGAGGCCACGGTTGCCCAACAGTTTGGCCACATCCTGCATGCCCAAAGATTCTGGCGGCTTCCTCTTCCTCTCGTAACTCTCTTTCTGTCTCTCTCTCTCTCTCTCTCACTCACTCGCTCTCTCTCCCCCTCCCAGGACAAAATTGGTTCTAGCCTCTCACCTGCGTGTGGCCGCAGCTTCGTCTCTGCCTCGCCTTTCTGCCTCGTGCGTCTTTCTGTCTCTTCCCTGTGCCTGCAGCTTCCGGAGGAGCTCCTCCGCGCGAACGATGGCTCTGACGATGGCGCCTTCCTGCGTGGCGCCCAATTTTTCAAATGCCACGGGAGCCGCAGCACGCATGACTGGAACTGTCGTGTGGCAAGGCCACTTCCTTGTGAAAGGGAGAGCAAATGGCAAAGCATGGCAACGGACATACTACTTTTACAATGATATCTAGAGCAAGATCTGGAGAGTAGTTGAAACAAAGCTGCTATGTTGATCCTGGCTTGCACAAATAAGACAAAAAGCATGCCGACGACTACGGAAATGCAATCACTTGTGTTTGTTCTAGCTGCATACGGACATGCATCACTTGAGCTTCCGGCTCCAGCTGACCTAATCGAAGCAAAATGCATCTGGAAGCAAAGGCTGCTGAACCTGAAACGAGTCATGTTGCCGCGCGAGGCCAGTCCAACGGATTCAAATCCGGATGTGACCCTGATTGCTGGCGATCTGGTTGTCCTGGTTTCCAAAATCAAATGCCTTTCCTGATGGAATGCTGGTGTTGGTCCCCAGAGTGCACTGGTGGTGCGCTCGCTGGCTTTGCCTGCCCTCAAGCGAGCCTTGCGCTTCGAGCCTTCGATTGGGCTTCCCCGTCCTGGAACTGCGAGTCCTTCATGATCTCTGACAGGGACTCACCGGAGGCCCAGCGGTAGGCAATGCCTCGAAGAGAAATACAACAGCCAAAATGCCAAAAACAAACAGCTGTGTCTCGGCGTGTCTTCTGGTTGACCCATGGTACATGCACCTTCCTGATCCCAGAGATGTGTGTTTCCAGTTTGCACCTGTGAGACAACCTGAACCGCCTTGAAGCATCGTCCATGCCTGTGACTGACATCAGGTGTGACATGTGGACAGGTCGCATCTGGTCTGCCACGGATGCCGGAAGACCTTCTTTTTTTGATCTCTGAGTTTGGTCGCCACATACAAGGCGTCCGTCCTTGCCTGCAAACGATGTGCGGGGCGAAGATTCTCATGTGCAGTCACCACTTTTGGTGAACTGAGTAGCATCCACTGACCAAGCGCTCTTCTCTCGAAAGACTCTCAGGCAGCAGGCCCATGAGCGCAACGTTGCAGCATCGTTGCAACTCCTGGCACGAGCTGAAACCAAGTTCTTGCACGGCTTGACCAGTTTGCCTCCTTTCAACCTGCTGATTCCAAGTCCTTGCTGCAAACATCCTGCGCACGTGCACATCTTTTCAACCTCTCTCATCCGGAGGGCCATGAGTCTCAACATCCTTTGGCTGAGTTCCAGACTCAGCTGCAGGAAGTCGGGAACTCAGGTTCGTCTCTCCGGTCTCCGGTTCTCGAACAAAGGCTTGAGGCTGCTCTTGTGGCTCCTCAGATAGTTGGGGATCCGTCAACTTCTCCTTGTCTGCCTCTCGCAGCACATCTGCATGCTCAGGCTCCGGTCTCTCCTCATGCGTCACTTCAGGCTGCGCTTCCCTCGCATCACTCTGCTCCTCTTCTGTGCTACCAACCTCCACCGTGCACGGAGCTTCCTCTCCTGGCCCTGGCTCCCTGGTTGGCTGGGGTCGTTCCTCTGCTCTCTCCTCATGCGACACTTCAGGCCGCCCTTCCTTCGCATCACTCTGCTCCTCTTCTGTGTTACCGACCTCTGCCGTGCATGGAGCTTCCTCTCCTGGCGCTGGCTCCCTGCTTGGCAGGGGTCGTTCCTCTGGTCTCTCCTCATGCGTCACTTCAGGCCGCCCTTCCTTCGCATCACTCTGCTCCTCTTCTGTGTTACCGACCTCTGCCGTGCATGGAGCTTCCTCTCCTGGCGCTGGCTCCCTGCTTGGCAGGGGGCGTTCCTCCAACTGGTCCTGGTCTTGAACCTGACTCACCACGTCCGCATCACATGCCATGCCTTGACTCTCAGCAGCTTCCGGGATCGCATTCACCGGATCCTGCGGCTCGTGTCTCGTCTGCTCGGACTTGGGCAGCTCTGGCAGCTCAGGCTGCTCGGACTGCGGCTGCTCAGGCGGCCTGAAGAGGATCTCGTGGGCCGCCTCCAAATCCCTCGGCTCCCCCTCAAGCAGCGGCTCCCGCACCTCTTGGCGTTCCTCGAAGTCCGGGCGCTTGAAGGCGCTGTTCAAACACGAGAGCATCGCGGCCAGGGCGTTCAGCACCGCAAAAAATATCGTGGAAAATGCAGCTTCACCACCGAAAAATGCCGCAGCGAACGTCAGCGGCGACCAGATGTACAAAACACTGCCGAGCGCTGGAATGCGCAAAAACCACAACCAACAGTTCACAAGAACCCAAAAGGCCAGGCGATCTGCATACATCTTGTGGGCCTCATTAGCCACGCATCGAGCAGATTCCATCGAAACGCCAAACAAAAGAATGACAGTGATCAGCACACTTACAACAGACGCGACTTTCAGACAAAGGAGAAGTAGAATCACAGCTGCGACAACAGCCATCACCGCATCACCCTGAAACATGCTGTGGAGATAGCTCTGCCATGGCAAGCGATGCAATGCTCTGAAGGCAAGCTGCCTGATAGCTGCAATGACGCTTGCTCCATATTCTATACATTGGCTGAACAGGGAGGTGAGGATTGTAAACACATAGGGTGCCAAAAAGCACGCCTTCCAGTATTGCAACCACAATGCCAAGGCGATAAGCAGCCCACTGGATCCAGCATCAGACTCATTGAGACTTTCCAAAGTGACCTGGATTGCTGCCAAGAGTGGCCAACAAGACCAGTAGGATAACCAGAAGCACATCTCTTCCTCGAGTTCAGTAGACATCCGAAACTCCTCCACCAGGCTTGGGAGCTTGAGTCGGAATTGGAATTGCCACCACTTCCTGGACTTCTGCTCTTCCTCCCCTCGCCGCGCTTTGGCTGCTTTCTCCTCGCGGTGGCGCAGCAGGGCGCGGGAGGTGCAGAACAGGGGCCACAGCGTGGCAACTACGAAGTACACCAAGGAGGGCACGGAGGGCACGAAAGCGCCCAGCTGCCGCGAGGCCGCCCAAATGGCAGGGCCCACCACCACGAAGGACAGGTGGAAGAGCGCTTGCTGCAAAAAGCCCAGGCAAGCAGTCGAGCTCTCCTGAAGCCAGGCCCTCGCCTTCCAAATCCGCAGCATGGCGTAGGCCGCCCCGCCCAGTCCCATCCCACATAGCGCCACCAGGCCCCGCTCCTCCCACGATAAGGCCTGCCAAAGCCACAATGCGGAGGCATACAAGTCCACCAGCAGAGGACAAAGCGCAGTCCACCTGAGTTCAATTCAAGCCTGTATCTCTGTGTGTGTGTGTGTGCGTGTGGGTTGCCACAGCTCCTTGTGAGAGGTGACACTGGGTCCCTGATTTTTCGTGGGAGCTCAAAGGCCAAACCAGTAGCAACAAGCTTTCCTTATTTGTAGAAGACCTCGGGCTGCGGGCAAGCTCGCCTCGGCCCTCGTGGCCGGGATCCGTGTTTGCCGGCCAGCCCCCTCCCCCCCAACCCATGCTCAGAATCCCTCCTGTTTTGTTGACGTTTGCTCAACCGCAACTCAACCCCCCTTTCCGCGATCCAGTGCTCAGCCCAGCAAGCCCACCAGCTTCATGCAGTTAACGTTTGTTGCCTTTCCCAGCCAGCGCCGCAATCTTCACCCAGTTGCACCTCAGCTCCCAGCCACAGCAGCCCAGCACGTTTGCAGCCTTGTCAGCCGGCTGCTCCAGCTGGAGTCCCGGACTCAGCTCTCAGCCTGTTATGCCCAGTCCAGCTCATTCCAGCCACATCGTTGGCCGGCCGCTCAAGCCTGGCAATCACTTTGCGCTGCAGCCCACCAGGCTCAGCCCAGGCTCAAGCCCGTATTGCTCTTGCTTTTATTTTGAAGATTGATCGACACTCTCCTGCTAAATGTCGCATCCTAGCTGTTGAGCCAGTCTTCACCCTTCCCAGCCTTCCAAACTCTTCAAACCCTCCCCCCCCCCCGAGTCCCCACTCTAGGGCTCCAGACAGGTCGTGGAGCGCGGGCACGAAGAGCGCCACCCAGGCGACCAGCATCTCCGCCACCGCGCGGATGGCCTCCGCGGTCTTCTTCGCGGCGATCTGCCCGTGCCTCGCCACCTCTCGCCACGCGCTGCCGCGGTCCACCTGCCAAGCGAACCAACACAGCCACGCAACCACCACGGCGCCGGTCGTCCGCGGTCGTCTGGAAGAACACCAGGCTACCAGAAGCAGTACCAGTGTTGCAGCTGCAAAGTCACAAAGAGCTGTCTCGTGGCTTTGCACTTCATCAAGGGCTTTGTTCAGAATCCGCGCCCATGGATCGTCGTGCGCAGCTTGCATCTGTGGCAATGCTGCGCAGCAAACCACACTCGGCCAATGCCGTGACTGCGTGCAGTATTATCCCTAGCCGGTCATGCTTCATGATTCATATCCTGGTGACAATGTACATCCCATATATTCAGACTCAAGCTTGGGCCAGTGAAATCTAATGTTGAAGCTCTGGCGCGGTGCTGTCTATCAAAGCTGCAAGTCGAGTATTGATAAATGTATCCTAGCTGCAGCCAATCGCATCCTCCACCTCCAGCTCGGTCAAAGGGATTGCCAAGGCGCGCAAGCAAACCGATTGACGCAAAGTGCGAGGGTCCAACATCGCAATCTTGGAACATGGCCACAACCCTGTATTCAATGCTGTGCGCCTTACTCCAGTGACTCCTGTGTCCAATGAATCGAAGCTTTAAACCTCAGCTCGGAAACCTACGAGCCAGCGTCTTCCCTTTTGACACGCGCAGGGCGCAGGGGCTCCCATTTTCGGCCCCAAGGCCTCCGCATCCATCTCCACGCGACGGTCGCGCAGGAGCAACTCCACCCGGCGGTGCTGCTGCAAGATGCCCTGGCCCAAATGGCTTGGTCCAGGCCCAGGGAAGACTTGGGACCCCCCATGGGCCCCATGCTTGATTGCTACAAACCCAGTTGTCTGGTGCGTATGTCAACCCTCAGACTCCAAGTCAGGCCCCACAAGCGTTCCAGCCCCCCCTCGCCCCGCCGCTCGCACGCGCGAGAGGTTCGCAGGCAACTCCTCCAAGTCCTCCTGGCGATTCGGAGACCCTCAAAACTCTGCCTGTGGAATCCGAGTTGTGGGGATGCTTTTGGCCTTTTCCTACCTTTGAGGTTCGAGCGGTACATGCAGATTGATTCGGGAAGCTAAGCTTCCTCATCCTACCAGTGCAAATCTAGACCGGGTCCTAGCAATCAAACTGGTTCCAAGCACGCTTTGCCTTGGGCAAGCAGTTGGAAAGTGGAAAAGAGTTGCAAAACGGCAAAACATGTCTGCATTTATATAGCACGTGCTGCGCGTTTGGGAGTTCCCCACGTCATCGATCTCGTGAGAGTGGGATAAACTGATCCAATGGCTCATCCTCAATGTACTCAACCTCTTCTGTCTCATTGTGAAAGGGGTTGCACGCATGCTCCACCGTCAGCGCCCAGGATCCCAGCCCGAGAGCTGCGGAGGTGATGTCAGTGGAATCTGCAGTGCAAGGAAGCTCCGCTGTAAAATTCTCTTGGCACGAAGCGAGGATCACCAAAAAATCCGTGGCGAAGTTCACAATGTCGCTGAGTACACCGAAGGAATCTGCGGCGCAGTCCTCGTCGCTGGACGATGAGCCAAGGCCAGCGTTTCGGCAGTCCTGGGCAGTGGCCCACACGCTGAGGCCGAAGTACGGCAAGTCGTTGGCCAGCTGCATCACCATCATGGAACAGACCCCAAGGGCTTGTGCCCGGGTCTCCCCCGGAAGGTTCACAATCTCCGCCTGCAGCCGCCTCGAGTGCATCCTGCGAATATGTTGGGGCCTCTCCCACGTGCAAGTGAAACACCAAACTTGAATGCTGGCACAAACATGGCAAGTTGTGCAAGAGCACAAATTTAAACAACGAAAATAATTGATGCAATTTGATGTCAGCGTGAACATAAGCGAATTGTGTCCTGACCCAGGGATCTGGCGGCAACCGCTTGCGCTTGCTTCTTCGCCGTCGGGGCACCATCTTCCCCGCGCTTTGGACGGCGGCAATGCGCTTCTGCACCTTGGCTTGGAATCCGGCCACGTCCACACCGTTCTTCCTCGGCAATGGGCACTTAAAAGCTTGAAAGTGAACAGAAACCTTGTCTAAAAGGAAAGTAGTCCAAGAGGGGGCTGTGCACGTCCATGTTTCTGGTGATAGACTGTTGCGCAACGTCCTCATTGGAGCAGGAAGGGTCTGCCTTGCGTATGAACTTTGCACTTTGACATGGGCGCTTTTGGATTTGGCATCCGCAATACAAATCCGCACATGCTACACTGAACGACATCCCCCGAAGACACAACTGGGTACACATCCATCCTCCCAAAGACACCCCCAAGACACACAAGGACGCCCAAAAAACTCCCCGCTCCTGAAGCATCGCCAAAGCCAAAGACACCCCTGCCAACATTCTTCCAACGACATTCCCAGAGACACACATCCTAAATGACAGTCTCAACAACCCCGAGGGCACACCTGTACACTTCCCCAAAGCCCTCAAACACAAACCACCGTTGAGACCGTCCCCCGCCACCATCCTAGCAGATATCCCGCACACATCCAACAGATAAGCATAGAAGGGCACCCCCCAAAGACATCCGCAGAACCTAAAAAAACATGCCACACACACGCTCCCAAACACAAACCGCCAGAGACATTCCAAGTAATTATATCCCGAAGGCATCCGCCAAGACAACTGCACATACCAAAAAAATAAACACCCCACAACATGTCCAATACACACCCAAAAACATCGCCAATGACAAGCCTTCAAAGAAAAACCTGTAAAGACATCCCCAGGCAAGCCCAAAGACCCAAGGACGCCCACGAAAGCATCCCCAAAGACACAACCAACATCCACCAAGACAGCTCACAAAAACACCCCCAAAGACATCCCAAAGGCAACCCGGAAAAAGACACATTCCAAGCTCCGGTGACATTCCTGAAAGACACACCCGAAGACGCACAAAACGACAACCCGCGCTGACGAAAGCAAACCTCCGTAGTAATCCGAACACTTCCTCCAAATACAGGCACACGGAAGGTCTTGAAAGACATCCCCAATGACAAACCACTCAGAAGCAGACCCCGAACCCCAAAAAAACATGTCGAGAGAAGTACAAAGACATTCCCGAAGACATCACACCCCACAAACAAGCATCAGAAGAAGTCCCCTAACGACATCCACACCGTATCCCCCCCAACAAAGTCCCCAAAAGCCATCCCCAAAGACCCACCCAACGACATCCCCCAAACGCAACCCACTAGTGAAATTAAAAACATCCACACAAACATCTTCCGTCGCACAAAGCCAAGCCACAAGAGACATCCTTGGCGACGTCCCCAAGCGAATCCGAAAAGGCATCCCCGAAAATGCATCCGAGAAAGGCATCAAGGCATTCCCCAATGAGACCAAAGTGCCGTGCCGTCCACAAAATTCAACGCATCACGACGTTTCAAAGTACGGACGAGTCTACTCTGTGCTCCAAAGCGCTGCGACTGTCATGACATTCGACTCGCAAGCGCCCAAGTGCTGCGCCTTGAAATCCGCACGCCATGCTCGCTTCGACAGCGTGCTGCGCCGGCCAAGAAATCTGCTTGCTCCGTGCTTTAAACTGCCGCACCCGCCATTAAATTTGACGTGCAAAGCTCCAAAGTGCTGCGCTTGCCGCGAAATCGGCACTCCATGCTTCAAAGCTCTGAGCATGACATGAAGCCATGACAGGGACGACGAAAATGACCCGCCAAGCAAAACACCTGAAAGCATGCATCCATGGGACGCAAATAACAATGGCACACAAAGACTCTCAAAACACCTCGCAAAACCACACGCCGGCCCGCCCAGCTACAATTTGAACACGAAAGCAATAAATGCTGCACACTTCTACAGTAGTTCCAAGCGCTCCCTTTCTGCCCAGCCCACTGGCACGCACGCTTTCGGACACTTGCGAACGCATTCCAGCGCTTTCCAACCCTAACATTCTACATCAATGTGTCACGTATCGTTCCTACTGCTAGGCTGCGACGCACCCCAATTCTTTTCCCTTCTCATCATTCATAGTCTGCACTGCCCGTGCCTGTAACAACCCTCATCGCCTGAGGGATAATGCTTTGGATTTCCATGCATCTCCTGCATGGACTGTGCTTAGAGGGGGCCACCGGTCAACTCCGGTTGGGATGCCTCTAACATCCTTAAAAGTTCCCCTCCCCTCGAAACAGCACAGTGCGCCTTTGCGCAAACCAGTCCCATCGGGACCTTCAAAGTTGTCGGCTACTGGACGCCAGGCCAGACAACTAGGGTGGGTTGGGTGGGGAAAACCAAAAAGGTGTCTGCCAATTTGGCTCAGTCTTGATCCAAAATGGCAGACCCATAACAATTGATGATACATGTTCACCCAATGCCTGCCAAGCTCTAAACATGGCATACATCAATGTGTCACGTATCGTTCCTACTGCTAGGCTGCGACGCACCCCAATTCTTTTTCCCTTCTCATCATTCATAGTCTGCACTGCCCGTGCCTGTAACAACCCTCATCGCCTGAGGGATAATGCTTTGGATTTCCATGCATCTCCTGCATGGACTGTGCTTAGAGGGGGCCACCGGTCAACTCCGGTTGGGATGCCTCTAACATCCTTAAAAGTTCCCCAATGCACTTCATCAACTCCCAAAGCACTACAGAAAGCTCGTCACCGCGAGCACGGCACGAAATGGCAGCTTCCACATGATGGGGAAACAGAAAGCAGTAGACATTGAAAAATCATTTTGGCGGGCCCATGGGTCCTGCCATCCTAACCGAGAAATCGCATCCGACCAGTTGGATTTGGAAGGGATCCACTCCCAATACATCCAAACTTTCAGCCCAAACAAAACTGTGTGTATCACGTGGGACATTCGTTCCAGATCAGGCTCCCTGGATCTACCACGGATTAAACACATCAGGGCTGCGGTGTTATCGATGTACCACACTCCCCTCCGATTACGGAATGTATCCGGTCGGCAGAGGAGTGCGTACAACACCATGGACAGCTCCAATTGAGCAATCTTCCGGTCCCCCGGAGTCCACAACTGGTAAAGCTCAAGTGGGATGTCGGCTACAAAAGCTTCCCGTCGCTCGGCGAAGCCGTCGGCCCACACCATCAGGAAACCTCCCGTCCCCTGACGAGGGCTCTCAAGAGCCGCATCCGAAGCTATCACAAACCTCTCACACGGCACTGGTAAAACCTGAAGCACTCGGCGTGGTTGGGTAGCAAAAACTGCTTCTAGCAACTCAGGCCCCATCAGGAGCCTTTCCCCTTCTTCCCAGCGCGACAGGTGGACGCTCCGTGGTTGCTGCCCCCACAGACGCGCTCCCCCCTGGTCACAAGGCCGCAGCGGTGAGCCCCCTGCTGACACTTGGTCGCCTTGCAATTGCCATGCTGGAATGCCTGGCACAGGGTGACTCCATCCTTCAGCACTTTAGCCACCGCCCGACCGCCAATCGGCTTACCCAGCTGGAAGAGGGACGTACTCGGGGTGCTGGTAGCCACTTTGCCCACAGCCGGAGTGGCCGGCGCGGCGCTCTCGCGGCACGCACCACCCAGTGCGGGTCCCGGGCCTCAAACACCTCCATGACCACCTTGCCCAGCGTCTTGGTGCTCTCGCGGAACTTGGTCACCCACTCAGTCCGTTCGGCCAGGTCCCGAGCCTGCCCAGTCGCTTGTGGTGCGGGAGCGACTGGAGCACGGACGGCCTCCCTAGCCGCCTCCGGAGCACCTGACACTCGGCCCGTGCCAGCCAGGGCGTAGGCCACCAGCAACGTGTAGAGCTTGTCCAGATAGCCCTCCCAATCTCTGGCCACAGTGTCCTCGTCCGCGTCCTCTTCGACGAACAAGGTGTCCGCCAGCTTCCTCTTCTTGCTGGATGACGTGAGCTGGAATTGCAATGACCGAACCTTCCACACATCGAAAACGCACAACAGCCTCTTGGACATCTCTCGACTCACTCGGGAAACGGGTACAATTCCGGGGGGAGCCGGACTCGGTACCTGGTCC